TAGCTATCTCCGAGTGAAAGTCCCGTCTAAAATTATCCAGCCATTTCAGACATTATCAAGTACAAACAGACAAGCTGACAAAAAAAAAATTATGCAAGTACCGTATAAATTTAAATATATATTTTGTGAAAAGTTAGTTTGAAATTACAAAGAGACACTTCATAACTTATTTGTAAAGATGTAAGTACATACATATTGTCTACACTCTCGTAGCACTGGTTACGCCTACGCGCGTAGCAGTGTGTGGGCTCGTAGCGATCGATCGTAGCTGCGCTTTTATTACATTACTTCAGCTTCAATATACGGTGTACCGCACGTACATTATGAAACTTTACTTTTTTAAATGACGGTATTTTTTTATTAAAATTTAGCGACCGGCAAAGGACCAATATTTCATAAATATAATTTTTTATACAGTCAATACGTCATACGTACTTTCTACTCATAGCTCAGATATAACGGTAGGTAGGTATGAATGGAAGAGGATATACTCCGTCTACTCCAAATAACGAGATTAAGGCAAGTCACTGATAATCATCAATACACCCTACATCATCATTGCCTTGCCTTTATCCCATTATTTGGGGTCGGCGCAGTATGTCATTGTCTTCCACTAATCTCTATCGGCCGTCAATACACCCTACATATGTTACAAAATTATTCCTTAAAATATATACTTAGATATATCGCGCATCACATTGTACTTACTAAATCCTAATGTTAAAGATAATGTTTGTCTATTTAACGGCTTAGCCAATAAACATAAAATTTTGCATATGATGTGATGTTTGTGATACGATTAACAAATCGTACTCACAAACAGTTTCAAGTATTTATATATATATATATATATATTGACACTGTCGTAGTGTAACAAAATCATCCATGCATTCAATCTCAATACATTATGTTTCAATAATTGTTAGCAACAGTACCCATTTCAATACATCGTCAATATCAAGTGAGTGTCAATAAGAACAATCAGTTTCAATCAGTAATTGTTGCAATCGTTTAAATGCATGGTTAATATCAGGAGTTAATTGGCCTTCATTATAGTTTATAATAGTCTACATATAGTGTAATGAGTCAGTTAAATTTATGATGTTTAAATATAGTTTTGACATATTCCGTCTCGCGTCTTGAGCATCTGCTTCATGTCGAGAGACTAACTTCTAACATATAAAGTTTAAACGTTTACATACAATATGATCTGTATTGCAAAGAGTTTGTATAAATATTTACTTTCATAGTATTTAAAGTATTTATTGTTATAGTCAGAGAAATTAATTTGATGTTTTATCTATGATAATACTTATGCTATATCCATATTATTGATACAATATGCCTTCACATCTTTCCATTGAAACGCTCTTCGTAAAGTTTGAGAATTTCTATTTATATATCAAATAATTATTTCACTTTTAATAGAATCGACAAATTGAAAAATCATGGTTGCCCAATTTGTAACGTATTTATGTCTTCCATTAATATTACACATTATGTAATATTCTGTGTATTACAGACACTAAACAAAATGTATACGTACTTAAATGTGTAATTATTCTGTATGATTCCACAGATTCAGTAAGAGTTGGCACCACCCTTATGAGATAGAAAACAAAATTGAATCTAGGTAAAACACCTGTAATCAGTTCAAAAAAAGGGTTGCAAATATTCATACAGAAATTGTTTTGTTCTAGGTGAACCATTCATATATTAACATTATTAAAATGTTATTATTTGAAACAAAATCTTAGTTATATTTTTAGTTCTTTATTTATACAGTTAGGGAATCTTGTGGTACTGAGAACTAGACAATTTAAAAAATTTTAAAAACAATAAGAATAATTTTTCAATTTAAAAATAGAACGATATGTTCGGAGTTTAAATAATTTATAGAAGCGTTCTCTTATTTTTTACGAATGACAATTTTGTAAAACGAATTTTATTTCAATATTCAATCAGTTTATTTGGCCTCTGCACATCAATCACGACGTACTTACTTATATCTGCTGCTGACCAAAATAAAAATTGTTACCACCCTCATTCGAGACGCAATAATAAATCATACATTCTGGACCGAGTCTGACGCACGAGAACTACATATTATTCCCATCCAGATTCGGTGTTGAGAAGGCCTGTTCTATTCGAGACCCTATCATTCATAGTTATTGATGATACGCATACAAATAACACTTGAGGCCATTTTGTACGAAAGTTCGGAAATATGGCGGTGTCGATTTTCCTTAACGTCGTTCCACTAGCTTTGGTTTGATCCTCGATTTTGTTGCGTTAGGTAAAGTTGCAATGCAAAATATTTTTTTCTACATTGAAATTGTGTCTACTTACACTTGTGTCACTGTCACTTGTCTACTGTAGTGACAATTTTCCTCCATTTTAGTTTTTATACATAATATGAATATATGAAAAATATTTAAAATTATCATATATTTCTTAAACATATATATTATGTATAAACTAAATTTTACGATACGTAAAAAAAAATAACTTATAACTTTTTTTTCAATTGCACACCTATCACGCTTCTAGTCCATCTTTTGGCTTTATGTATATGCTTTCCAACTACTTCATATTAAGTATATTCAAATAAAGATTATTTCTATTTTAATCATCGTGTCTTTACCAAGCTGTAGTAAAACATAATAAGGTTAGTCAAATAATGGCAACCCTATCGTGACTGTTGGTAGTGAAGTGAACGCAGTTAGCAGTACGCAATCAGCATTGGTAGGTTTGTTTTGCCGCCTGGTAATTGTGAATTTGTGTTGTGTGCAAATGTCATGTGTCGTGACATGGCTCGTGTTTATTTGACTCATGTGCACGGCTACGATTGTTTATTTAATAAATCTTTCGACGTTTATTATGTTGGTACCAATTACAACTTTTTTAAAAGTTCTATTTAATATACAAGTTTATTATGATGGTACGATCTACTACTTTTTTTAAATTTCTAGTAAATATACAAGTTTATTATGTTTGTACGATCTACTACTTTTTTTAAAATTTCTAGTGAATTTCCAAGTTTATTATGTTGGTACGATGCATTTCTTTTTTTTTAATTTGTCGTTGATACTGACCGTTGTAGAGTAGTATATACTATATTGCGGTGCCTTATTTTTCTTTCGTGATCAAATATATGTTTATGTTGCATACATTTTGTACCTACAATATAGTAGGTAGATACTAGCTGTGGTTACGGTTTCACTTACGTGAAATTTATAGCCCATGTGTCATTCTTCTGTATAAGCTATATTATTGTAATGTTTTATTAAAATCCATTCAGTAGTTTTTGCGTGATAGAGTAACAAACATCCATCCATCTTTGCACTCTCACAAACTTCCGCACTTATAATATTTGTAAGATTGTCTTTTAATTTCTTATTACTGAATGTAACGATAATATATACAATATTCTTTATTAGGATGATATACATGAGTTTGCTTTGCCTACTATTATGAAAAAAAATATCATAGTGATGTCAGTGCGTTGCGTTTTATCTGTCTCTATTGAAATCCGAGGCACGGACAGGTATGGACGAAGAATGTGTCCCCTCCACCCCCCAGGGGATTCCAGAATAAATGAAATTCTATATTAATGCAATAACTCAGAAACACGTGGACTAATGGAATATCTCAAATGTATTCTTGGTATTCAGCTATAGGCATTGACGAAATTGCTTAATGTAGGACCGCTTTTTCTGTTACCCTAAAACATTTATACCTATTGTAGATGTAACTAATTTCATTAAATTATTGGTAGTTTTTATTTAGGGAACTTTGTATAAAGTCATCGTTGTGGGTCTGTTTCAACTATATATCTAATACCTGCATATCAGACGCGAAATAACTTGCTCTGTAAGATGTGTTTCATTAAAAAGGTGAGAAAAGGGTAAGATAAAATTACAGCCATGAGACGAGTCCACCGGAATGTCAACATTAGTGGGACCACGGATGTCCATAGCGCTGTTCATGTATATAGGCGATTTACCACTTACCATCAGATGGGCCGTCAGCTATTGTACCATTACATAAAAAACTGAAATCCAGAAAAAAAAGTATACATATTATTGTGAGTATGAATAGACGTAGATATATTATAGCGTACCCTTTCACAAGATAAAATGGGGTATAAAATATTTCCTTTTGTAAATATAAAACCTCACGCACCAAACATTCCAAACAATTTAAGAAGATACAAATGTACAAATAAAAATTCCTCGTGATATCCTGAAACAATATTATCAAAGAAATATCAATAATCTATGTATAACAGTAGCCCTATTTATATTAATTTATTAAAAAAAATCATAATTTTAATGTAAAATCAGAATAAAAAATTCATAAATAAAAACAAGTAATTAATCACGCTATAATTCTATATGGCTGTATATGTTTTATGTCTTGGTCTCATCAGTTCGGGTGCGTCAATAATAAAAGTATTATGGCGGGAAAGTGAGTGGAATTTAATTAATTTAAATTATTTCGTTCACATATTACATTATCAAAGATTTAATTTATTCTAACAATCAGAAGACATGAAGGATGAGTCAGATAAATATATGTGAGTAGAACCTATTGCAGTATATAATTTATATTTTAAATACGTGATCTTTTATCCATCTTAATACCTGTATTTCTTAAAGCCACGCCTCACGGATTATGCAGATACAGTCGAGTACAATTTGATAGTCAGTTCTCGCCACTTATCGACCTTTGTACACATTTTTTGAGTAATTTTATGGTGTTATAAAGCTGCTTCTCAAGTGAAATGGGGTGGGTACTCAGCCTTGTAAAATTCATAGGTTTATCTAAACGATGTATTATTTTGTTATAAGCGTATGATATGTATGACAAGTAAAAAACTTCTTTTCTTCATTTTTTGTTTCGACTACTGTTAACATTTCAATAAAGATACAACTATTATATGACGATGTATTTATTTTCCTTGTAAATTAATAACAAAAAAATATCTTTTGTTGCAGGGTGAAAAAGACAATGGCAAAAATTGTATACTTTCATGCGAGAAGAGAAAAGCGGACGACACCGATATTAACAAAGACTTAAAAAAGGTAAGCGGCCATTTTTAATTATAGAACACAAACGGAGTAATCCGGAAATTTAAGTTCGATATTTGAATTTTGAGAGTTAAAATATTATTAAAAATATTAAGTATTATGTAATAGTTACACAGAGCAAGTAATCACTATGTTTCTAATCTAATAGAGTATTTTATATATAGTTTTTATAAAGATACACAGAATCGATACGAAGTTATAACTGAACACTGGATAACTGAAAAATGAAATTTGTTGGTTTGTTGGTTGGTTAACAGTGAGCCAAAAACTACTAACTACTAACGAAAAACCGTTGTAGTTATAAATTTATATTTCATTGTATATCAAGAAAATATACATATAGCAGTGTGATGACTGAGTTAAAATATATAAGTTAGTTATGATTATTTTATCTAATTTTACATAAATTATAACATAATCACGTTCAACAGTTCGTGAGAATGAGCAATAAAGAACAACTTCTAACTAGAATACAACTTGTCTAACACTGTCAGCCGTCCAACAAGTTTTTTGGTGCTACCCTCCAAGTTCTTTGTTATCACCCTTCGCAAGGGTAAAAACAATGTTGCCAACGGATAAAATAACCGGGTACCAGCTACTATATTCTTGTCACGACAAATGCTGACATGCTATGGCCATAATCAATCTGAAAGAATCTAATATTAAAATAAAAAATAAATAATAAGCGCTGAGTAAATTGTCCTGAAATTATTATTATTATTTCTGCGCTTTCGACTATACTTTAATATTCAGCTAAGATAAACGATTTAATAGCAGTTAATTTATTGTAAGTTAAAAATATTGTGAATGTTTTTCATTTGTAATTGAAATTTGTCGTAAGTACCAAACAATAATTTATAAAACACAACCCATTTTACATGGTTTCACCCGCTTCGCAGATTACAAAAATGGCGGCCAACCTCGTCACCCATTACATTTGTTGCATCGCATCACCCGCCCTAGTTATTAAATACATATTTTCCTTTGATTTCGTTTGCACTTATTTGTTTTTTTTTTCTAATAAATCTATAATCTTCGGTCCATAGTTTCAGATCTCTATTCGAGCATTCAAAGAATCGCATGAATTGAGAAATTTAAATATTTAATATTACTATGCATAGATATTAAAAGCTATCGAATATATAAAATACTTCTTTTCTTTTTAAGTCACTTCATTTAAATATAATTGAACATCTGCAGGTATATTATTTGAATTTCGAATACACAAATAAAATATTTATAAAGAATATTAATACAAGTTAATATTTTATTGTAAAAGATTTTTGATTTGTTTATTAATAAATTTGAATTTGGAAGAAAAATTGTAATTTTAATTTATGTTTCGAATATTGAACCTACATGGTTTGTGTTACTAAGAATTCATTTTTTTATTAAACTATGATACCAATGTTTTCGCATGGTATGTTTGCAAGAAAATCTTTGCCTATGCATATATATGTTGGCTTGTACTCAGTGGTTACAGTGGCGAACTCGCGGATACAAATTAGTGAGTATATAAAATTTTATTTAATTAACTTTCATTTGTTTTTGTCCTTTTCTTCACCGAACATTTAGTCAGATTATGTCTCCCAGATTTAAACTTACGGTCTTTCTAATTGCATTCTAAATTCCATTTTTAAATTTTCAATGGAATTCTATACCTTGTAATAAACTGATTTGTCTAAATTCTATTTTTAAGTTTTGAATGGAATTCTAAACCTTATAATAATGCGATTTGTTTATGGAAAGTGTTAGTCACGTTCTGAACACTAACAATGCTATTAAAGCGGAGTGGTTGCTGTTCAGTAAATGGTATAATTTAATCTGTAGCATTACAGGCTCGACGCTAAGCCGCTAACTGCACCGGCGACTATCTATGTCATATTGATTTGTATTATGGTCCGAGGTTGCGGACACGTTATGCGAGACTGTAGCATACATAACTAATATTATAAACGCAAAAGTGTATCTGTATATTTGTTACCGTTAGACACTTATACCATTAAACATGTCTAATCATCTTTATATGACATTAAATTACAAAGAAACATATAATGCTAATAATCTCAGGACAATTCACACAGCGCTATCTAGACCCAAGTTTAGATAACTAAAGCTTGTGTTATGAGGACTAGATGACTGATACAAATACTATGTATTTACTATATATTTTTAATACTGTGACACAAGATTTATATATTAGATATACAAAACTCACAAAGATAAGCACATCGGGACGAAGTCAGGTCATGTGCTAAACCACCACCGAGGCCGTCAAAATTCTCTATCCTCCTTCATACCCCGATCCGTCGATTATGGGCATATCAAAATATATATATCGGATAGATCGTAGTATAAAGAAAATCTCGGGCGAAGTCGGGGTTGTCGACTAGTTCACTAATAAATCCAATATCTAATCAAAGATTATTGGGCATATAAAATATGGATACCTGTATGAATTACCGTAAATAGAGACATAGACTCGTAGCGTGTGTATTAAGGTCATAGGAAGATATAGCGGCAGATCACGCGACGCTATGTAATATTACAGGGCTGATAGGTAATATTCGAACTTAGGTGATTTGTTGCAACATTAGAACGTGAATTAATGTGCTACGAAATGAAAATTTTGCGAAGCAATACAATTTCTACGTAATACGTACGTAGAGTCATGTATATGTATTCAGAGTTAGTAATAAAGGGTATCAAGCTGAAAGTTATAATGTACAGGAAACTGATTTATTTTAACTAAGAAAGTGTTTATTGTAATAATAATATCTCAGGACAGTTCAGACAATATATCACAGAATAGATATCACGCAATCTAGTCCCAAGGTAATCAAAGCTTGTAGTATGGGTACTCACACTAGACTACTCATATAAATGCATATATTTTTTTACATACATATTTATTATATAGGTTAAGGAAAAAGTTGGAGTCGAGTCGTATCAATAACTAAAAATATTGACGAAAAATCGCGGAAAATGGCAAGAGCTCCACCGACAAGAGCGCAGCTCTTATTTTACATAGAAAACACCCAGAGCGATACAAACAATCATACTCATGAATACATAGGTTCCTATAGAGGAATCGAACCCGTGACCATCAATATCCGTTGAATAATTTTTGGGACATGAACGCGCAGACAGACGTGCCACGGGACTGTTTTATATAATATTGATATAATATGGTATGGATTTTCCACTTTACTTGAATACTTTTGTTTGTTCAGTTCAAGTATTTTGAAATGCTTGTTTTATTGAAATGAATTTGCCATAATTCTATAGCTCAATTCGAAGAAAATTTTAACTATGTTTTACGCTAACAAAATTAAATTCTTAATTAAAAACTAAGAAAAAATATTGTTTAAATACTTCTGATGTACCTTTTTATCGAAATTAGTAATTTAAAAATAATCCAGAACATAAAAAAAACAATTATATTGTACTATGTAGCTCTGAACATATAGTAATAAGTGGACAAGTATTCTACTATATGTAAATATATATCATTTATAGAAATAAATAAACAACTATGTGACATAAATTTTACTTATTGCATGGTCTATTATGTTTATCCAAGTTATGCTCTATTACTTCGACAAAAAGACAGATCAATGTTATTTACTAAAATACAGAATATGTAAGATACAGTATGGTTTGATAAACATAAAGTAAAAATAAATGTCAAACTTAAGTATTGTTTATACAGAGAGTAACATTTATTTATACCTACATACATAACTGATAATAATAAATGAAAGTGTTAAGTTTAACTATAACTATAATTTATCTTGTAACGACACTGTATTGTATTGTTTTACCAAAGGAAGCAAAACCTATATATTCTTCTAGAACCAATAGTTAACTACAAAACTCCCATGTAAAAGTAATACATTAATTAACATTTCAGTGAGTGGACGTAATTCGGTATGACAACATGCGGCTCATCAATTAATCAATTATTAATTACTACTTATAAATGAATGAGTTTTAATTATTGTCATGTAATCACACAAGTAGCCAATTACTCAAACTAGGATGACAGCCAGTTTTCTAGCTAGTTCTACTAGTAGTATTTATTACGATTTTAGTAGTAGACATTTTTAAATTCATATTAGGTATATTTATTAATAACTAGCGACTCGTCACAGCTTCGCAGGGATGTATATAAATCATTAATTTCTACGCTAGTACTATACTATAACACGCATGTATTATACATATAAACCTTCCTCTTGAATCACTCTACTGCTGAAAACTGCATTGAGATCCGTTGCGTAATCTAAAAGATATAAGCGAGCACAAAACGGCGACTTTATTTTATGATCTCCACGACGTACGGTCCTGTGCTGCTTGCTATTTGATAATACGTCATAAATTCAAATTATACAGTTTATATTAAAAACTCTTAAAACCATCTCCACTACATAATATATTATAAATTCCGATATAGCTGAAAAATATTAACTTCCTTTTTTCAGTGGTCGGAAAAACTCAAAGCAACTCCCGAGCGTATAGTTTTCGTGGCTCCACCACCCGCAGTCGGGTCATTTTGTTTTCATTATCTCCACAAACGGCGTGCAGGGGGCGCCGCGAATTTACGACAGGAGTCGTGCACTCGACCCTAATTTAAATACATTACTTGTCTTAAAGAACGCCGTAGCGGCACAGTCTACTCGACCCGACACTGTCTACTCTGTTAGCGAACTCCTTTTCTTTTAGCACCTACTTCTAACTTAGAATTGTTGTCTTTTTAAATGGACTACTCACATAGTGCTGTCTAGTCTCAAACTTATAGGTACTATAGATAACTAAGCATAGAATACTTTTAAATACTTTTTAACGGTCTGAGTGGTCTAGCAGTTCAGCATACTGCCTTACTTCCCATTGCCGCGGGTTCATTTTCGCACGGTACAAATTTGTTTTCATTGTATTCATGAGTATGATAGTTTGTATAGGTATGGTTGTTTTCTATGTTTTATGTGTAGTTT